AATGCTTTCCGGTAAACAAGCTCCTGAAATGCTTTTTTTAAGTGAAAATGTAAAACACCAGCAAAAAATAAAAAAAGAGTCTTTGACTTAATAAGGAAAGAAAAAAATTATATACTGAGGTTGCGTGATCTCTGGTAGGAATACATCTTCGATGAATGAAATGGTGAAGAAACAAAAGGAAACTTGTGAAATCCCAACCTGCAGCCGTGCTGCACATGCGTGTTCAGTTCAAAGGGAACACAGATCGTGTGGGTAGAAGGCTGATGGACAATGATGGCTGTGCCTGAATGCCCTGAGCCTATAGCAAGACTCCAGCAACAGATCCCGAGGAGCAAGCCATTTACGGCACACTGTGGACGTCTGTGCGGATGCAGGAATAGGTCCAGACTGAAAATAGACAACTGACTGGCATAGTCAGGTCTGCTGAAACGGAAGCAGATGCCACATTTCTGGTAGAGGTGAAGAAGCTAATTAGAGACAAAGGCTAGGACATCAGTGGAAAGCGAGTCTGCAGTTGTAAAGAAGTTGGGATCTATGGGAAGAAGACAGACCATAGAACCTTCCTTCACACAAGTGCACAAAGGGGCCAGATGTGTTAGCCTATACCCAGTAATCCCAGCTTCTTGGGAGGCAAAAACAGGGGGATCACAATTTGAGAACAGCCCAGAGAAAAAAGGTCAAAATCTCAAAACCAAGCTAGACTGGCAATATGACCGAGATAGAAGAGGGCTTTGCTAGCAAGTACAAGGCCTTTAATTCAGACTCCAATACCATCAAAGATAGAATCTAGCAGATAAGAAAAGAGAAAGAAAAGGAAAAAAGAAAAGAATGCAGGCGTGTTGGCCTGGTAGCGCATGCCTATAATCCTAGCAGCAAAGGTCGGAGAATTTATCTGAGGTCAGCTCAGGAAAAAAAAATCTGAGACCTTATTTTTTAAAATACAAAAAGCAAAGGTCCTAGAGGTGTGATTCAAGTGGTAGAGTGCCTAGCAAGCTATTCAATACCCACTGCCTCTTTCTCACACACAGACACACAGACACACAGACACAGACACACACACACACACACACACACACACACACACACGTAAAGGCAGAACTAGATCATAAAAAGTAGAAAGACAGACCCATTCTGGCTCTTGGTGACAATGCTGCAAGGCTCAGAATAAAGCCAGGCATAGTATACAGAACAAAGAACCTACATGCTCTTTCACAAAAGATGACAAAAGTCATCTGCTGTATTCTGGCCACAGAAAGTGTTTACAGACTGATTGCAGAAGCTGAGAAAGACTTCAAGTTTAAAGTCCTAATAATAGCCAATGAACCTGACCCTCCTAAATCCATCCACAATGAAAGTGAGCACATCAAGGCTGTGTTTTTATTTCCAAATGCTGCTTTGTTGCCTCAGCCTCTCGTGCAGGGCATCTTTGGTGTTGAAAGGCCGCACACACACACACCCTCCTCCCCGGTGTGTGGATGCATGTGACCAGCAGTTGGTCCAGATTCTGCTCTGGACACAATGTGGCATTAGAGATTGTTATCGTGTTATGAATACTGACACAACAACGCCCATCAAAGCTTAACAGAAGCTTCCAGAGACCCCTGGAAGAACTTATAGGGTCAACTGTAACAATTTTAAAGGTTTCCTAGAGATAAATGGAAAACTTAAGTAATGAATTCATGGAGCCAAGCCAGGTGGGAGAGAAGGATTTGCTGTCACACTTGATGAAGAACCAAAGAACGCATTGAAGGCCAGCAGGACGTCTTAAGACAAAGATGAGGACAAAGAAGAAACTGGAGCAGAACCAGCAGCAAGGACATTACCAGAACTTTCCAACGTGTTTCAAATTGCACCGACAGTCCAGCACAAAAGTTTGGCCTGCCATGCTCAGCTGGAACACAGCGTGAAGGTGATGCACTGTAACACTTCAATGCTTCTTTAAAAGACACAACTTCCACATGCAATAGTTTTTCATAGTTCTTGGAGAGAGAAAAAGTCAACCACTGAATTATTGAAGAACCTTGACCATCATCATTATCTGCTCCTGACATCGTCCAACTGCTGACCTCCTCTACAAGCAGTGGTCCAGGATCTCCTGAAAGTGTGCATCATTTGGTTGCTAGTAGCAACCTTGCACTGCATCTCAATGCCTACATCATCGTGTTGCTAATAGCAACCTAGCACCACGTCACAATGCCTACATCACCTGCTGCATCTCTTCTCATCACACAGACAACACATCATCCTGGATTATCACAAAGGATGAGCACAGAATAATGTCATATGGGGAAAGAGACCATATTCCCCTAGCTTTTATTATGCTACAATTCTCTACTGGTTTCTGAGGGGTTTTTCTTCCAGGTCTCCCCGTCTACTGCAGTTACAAAAATTTGTAGATGTTCAGCTCCCTTACATAAACTAATGTAGTTTTTGAATATAACCTAAAATACCCTCTTGAGTACTTTAAATCATAGCTGGGCTTACTTGGAATACTAAACTTAATGTAAATATCTCATTTATATATGATGGAAGTGTGAATTAGATTGTTAAGAAGAATAAGAAAAAAAATCTGTCCATGCTTACTAAAGATGAAAATGCTTTGGATCCATGGTTGGTCGAATTCATGACTATGATATCTTGACTATAACCAATCATTTTGATTGCTACAGCTGTTCTATCTTATTATCTGCTATGGTTGCTAGCCTCTTGCTAGGCCTAATCTATACATTTAACTTTATCACAAGTGTGCATATACAAGAAAATAACTAGCATATACAGGGATTGGTGTTATTTACATTTATCAGCTTGCTTTTTCACCATTTTAGCTATTCACTGAGAGTCTCAGACATATTCTCCACAGATAAGGGGAACCACAGTAACATTTAGAAGCCATACAAACTTGAAAAGGTACCAAAAGACAAAGATAGACAAAGGTGCCTTATCCCTTTTGTTTTAACTTTGAGCTCCAGAAACCATAGAAACGTTGACATCAATCTCAAGAGAAAAATCTGGGACAGGTTTTTTAGCAGATGGCTTGTATATATTTAGGGGAAAAGGGTGGAAATCAAAGGAACCCAACTAAGGTCAGGAAGAAAACTCAAATCACATCAATACGTCTGTGTGAAACCGCTCCTCTATTAGGGCACATAAACATAGCCAAGGTACACAAGGCTCCAAATGCCATTAAAATATTCAACCAAGTCATAAGATCCTTCCAGGGCTCTTTCATTTGGCAGTATTGCTTCTCAGTGACTTGAAGGAAGATAGAAAAGTCATGATTATCCTGCGTTTGGAAGACAAAAATTCATTTTGATTTATTTAGCGTGAAATACTTGAAGTTTTTTAAACTCTCATATTTTGGCTTCTGTGCATGTTGTTACTTCTCCTTCAATGACTTTTCCCTGCCTTCCCTGATTTGTCCAACAGAAAAAAAGCCACTCATGTCTTCGTGGACTCAGTTTGCCTTATAATTACTCCTCTCAGATGACTGTCTTAAGGAGCTACAGGAATATTTTTCCCAATGCTGAATGGTTCAACTACCCCCCTCCCCATGCTGTTAATGAGTTGTTTACTTGCTGTTCAGCCATCTACACCACAATTGTCTTGAAGAATGCATTTTTTCCCTCTTGGATCCTGAGCGTCTGAGACATAGTAAATATTCTCTATCTGGTGAGTAAAATCAACATGCATGACTGCAGAGGAGATTCACCAGGCTGGGAGGGAGACCCTGCAAAAGCTGTGGCTCCCAAGATAACAGAAAAAATCCTGGATCATGAAAGACATTCACTCGCCATTGCTCCAGATTCTTATTAAAATGACTCAGAGAATATTGAAAAATAGAACTGTGAGTAACTATAAGAAGGACCACCAACATCGCAATAGTTCTCGGTAAAATGAGAAAAAAATAATGCAGATTGTCCTAAGGCAGAAGATGAAGGGTATGAGAAAATTCAGTGCCTCCAGGGAGGAATAATCTGGGCCATACCTTGTGGCACTTCCTAATTTGGGAGAAAGCCTTGAGGTGGTGCGGGGGGGGGAGGGGGGGGGGGAGGTGGTGTCACCGACACCTGTGGCAAGTGCCCATTTAGATCCCTGACCACCTGACCATTGCTAGGAAATTGGATGGTGGGAGATAAGGGGAGTGGAGGGACTAAAGTATTAGGAAGCAGAATAGGGTGGGTAAGGCAAGAGCTAAACAAGATGTCTGGAAGCCAGTTCCCAATATTACAGCTTTATGAATAAATGAGAAAAGTCTCTAAAAGGAGACTTGGTCCTGGTCTCCTCAACTTCTTTTATAATTTGAACTACCTCTCTGGTTACCTTAGGCTATTGGATCACTAATTATGCAAATGTATGTCCATCAACAATCTCAAGATATGACTGAGGATTTCTATGACAATGAGAATCCATCTAACCACTTATGGTCCAATCAATAACCCATTCAACGAGTACCATATAATGTAGAGACATACATGTACATGTATTCAAAACCATGCATATACAAGTATACACATCCCTAGAATGCACATATTGTGTACATACAATTGTAAAATGTGTACACAGTTGTATGCAGATAGATGCAGGTGCATATAAGAACAAATATATATACAACTATATACCTACATGCATACGTGTGCAGATACATACACACAAAATATGCATGTGTATGTATACAATTCTACACATACATGCACACACACACAGGTATGCAGACAGCGATACTATCACAAACAAAGGAAAAACTGAAAACATATTGTGTTCACAATGAAGATTCAAGGGAAAAAATGGGTTCTGAGAAACTGGCTATTGAATAGCAGTGTCATTTTTAAACCCTCTTATTAGAGATATTTATTAGCTTGAGAGAATTCACAAATATAAATTTTAATGGAGAGCTCTTGACCTTTTATATTAGGTTTAATATTTCTCTTTTAAGTTGAGGATTTTCATTTCATTCCATGTTGTCAATTGAACCATTCCACTAACTTGGAGGTAAAGCGAACAATTATGAAATCTAAGCATTCTCATGACTTATGACCCAACTATCTTATATTACTGCTGACTGGGTGATCCTCAGACCTCCTAAAATATTAATTGTGTCATTTCCGCTGAGGCCTTTGCCACTTCTCATAAATATGTGTTCCCTCAAAATGAAGTCACTTTTATCTCATAAAGCTGAGCCGGAATGTTTGTAATAAAGACCTCAGCTTACCTCCAGCATGATTGCTTAGATTGCTATGTGAATATAACCAAGAGAGACTTAATCTAAGTTTAAAATATCTCATGTAAGTTTCTATTTCCTGGTCCATAAAATACCTCCAGTTAATTTCAGTTACATAAATACCTCAGCCTCGCAGTAGCTGCAATTCCTATACCAGGCAAATGCAAACTAATGAACCCAGGCCAACTCACAGTGAGTCACAAAGTCCTAAGTTAGAAAAGAGAGTAAACCTTGTGTCTTTCTTTCAAAGAGGATTTAAAATATAATTTCCCATCTTGAATTTTGCTTCAAAGGGCATCGAATAATTTAAATCTAGGACAACCTTCTCCATGAGATTAAAAAACTGGATACTTTTTAATATCATGAGACAATTCCTGAAAAGTGAAACTTCTACAGTTAAGTAAATAGTTAAGTATAGCATCCAAGACATTCTTATGTTCCTGTCAGTGTAACATTAGGAGTTACTGCTCCTTTAAAAACACACAAACAGAGCCAGGCCCTGGTGGCTAATACCTGTAAGCCTAATTACTCAGGAGGCTGAGATCTGAGAATCACCGTTCAAAGTCCACTCAGAAAGGAAAGTCCATGAGACTCTTATTTTTAATTAATCACTCTCCCCCGAAAAAGCCAGACGTAGAGCTGTGGTTCAAGTGGTAGAGCATTAGGCTGAACAACAGAAATTCAAGGACAGTGCCAAGACGCTGAGTTCAAGCCCTAGACCCAACCAAAAACTAAAACAAAAAAAAAATCAAAACAAACAAACAAAAAACCACATGAACACAAGAAATTAATATTCCCTCTCAAAAAGTAATTCTGAAATGACAAGAAACAAGAGAGGGACTACATTTACCCATTTGTTTTAATAAATAATGCAAGCCTTCCAAATGGAAGTACCGCAATAATTAAACTGATTTTCCAAAATCATTTTAGTGTATTCAATTATGGGTTTTAATTATTTTAGAGAAGCAACTCATGGTGTTAATGAGAGAGACAGAAGTAAAAATCATGGTAGAGTTATGTTCCATGTTTCTGCATTCTATAAGCTTTATTAGACAATGTTGATCAAATATTTGATGAATACTAAGAGCCTTTTGGGATAGTAAAATGAATATTATCCTCGTGGATCTGAGAACCAGGCTGAAGTACAATCACCATCAGTTAAGGTAAGTGGATTTCACGGGCAGAGGGAACATTGGTTATTGAAAAGAGGCCTCCAGAGAACTGTGTGGAATTAAATAGAAATAATACCAAAATTAAAATTAAAGTGTGCTGAGCTTATGCCATAAGCTCCTAGAAACCCCAAATACTGGAATAATGTTGTTCTTCAGTCTTTGAAACATGATGAAGAAATGATTCCGTATAAGAGATGACAGCCAGTCTGTATCATCTCGCTTTATGTGTCTCCCACCTGTATCTTATTCTTTTCTCTCTATAGCATCTTACAAAAGGAAAAGAGAAAACAAAAAGGGAAGAAAATAAAACTCGTGTGTTTTTTTTTAATACCTGCATCCTATCCAAGTGGAAATAATAGCTAAAAAGGTAAACTTCCTGGTCTATAACCTAAATCAAATGATTTCTTAGGGCTCCAGCCAGGGCTTTGTTCTTCAAAGGATCTGCGCAGGACATCTCAGTCATATCAAAACTGCAATCATTAAGTGAACAGAAATGTTCAATAGCTGATCATTACAATTCCTTCTTTTCCCTCTAACAATGACTACCACAACCTTTATAAAGTATAAAAATTCACTTTTGCCTTCTTAATGACTATCGCACCTTTGGCTTATTGGAAGTTTAAAAAAAGATATCTTTTTTGTAAGATTATTATTTATTATTATTATTATGAAAATATCGTACAGAGGAGTTATAACTACATGGGTAAGATAATGAGTATATTTCTTATCAAGCATTGTTGTCTCCTCTTTTGTTTCCCCTTCCCATCCCTTCCCATCCTCTCCCCCATATCTTATAGATAGTTAGACCTGACATCTATCCTAGGACATCACAATGTATCAGGCATATCATGAGAAGCCTTTCTTTTCCTTATGTGTTTATCATAATAAACATAGAGTTAGTTCATGAGACTCAGCTTGGAATCAGAGGGCCCAGGAATTGCTTATCCAGACAGTTAAAACCTGCAGGTTGCTCTGCAGCCTGCTCAATCCCTTATCTGCAAGTGACACTCACAGCCATGGTACCAGCATAGATTGGGCCAACCACACAATCACATCTCAATGAGTATACCATTCACTGATATCTCATTGGTCAAATCAAGTCACATGGTCAATTCCAAAATCAGAAAGGGGAATTCATTTCCTCCTCCCCACCACCACCATAAGGCATAATTAGTCACATGGCCAAGCCCATCCTCAAGAGTGTAGGAAACATATTCCTCCTAAGGAGGCTGTAGGGATGGAGTGATTATTTCACATGCACAAAAAGTAGAGTATAACCTCTGCTCTGCTGGTGCTGACTAGGGGGATTAGGGTCCTCAGTGCACCCTTATGTACCGCAATGGTACATACGGTGAGGATCCTCTAGTGTAACTCCACCTTTACAAAAAGGAGGGACTACTAAGCCAGAACATAAGCAGTAGGGTTTTATGCCTTTTTCTCACATGAGAGAACATTTAGTGGGCAGATTCAGTAACATATGTATAAACTATGTGGATTAGATATAAAGTAGCTGCAAGCTGCATGCCAGTGGCTCACACCTGCAATCCTAGCTACTCAGGAGGCTGAGATCTGAGGATCGTGGTTCCAAGCCAGCCCAAGCAGAAAAGTCCTTAAGACTTTTATCTCCAATAAACTACCAGAAAACCAAAAGTGGTGCTGTGGCTCAAGTGGTAGAGTGCTAACCTTGAGCTGAAGAGCTGAGGGACAGCGCCCAGGCCCAGAGTTCTAGCCCCACAACTGACAAAAAAAAGTAGCTGCAGTGCTGAGCTCAGTGGCTCAGACCTGTTATCCTAGCTACTCAGGAGGCAGAGATGGGAGGATTGAGATTAAATGCCAGTGTAGTAAGACTTTATTTTTTGTAGGTTTTTTATTGTAAAAATGTTGTACATGAGCAAGGTAATGAGTGCATTTCCTATAGAGCATTGTTGCCTCCTCCTTTCTTTTCCCCCTATGAGACTTTGTTTCAAAGAGCAAGCTGGACATGTTGATGCACACTTGTAATTCCAGCTATATGGGAAAGAGAGAATGATGATCCAAGTCCAGCTCTAGACAAAAGCATGAGATCCTATCTGAAAATCATGATGGAAATAAGGCACAGAAAATAATCAATGTGAAAATAGAACTCAGCTAAAGAACAGACAGAGGGAGAGAGAGAGAATGAGAGAGAGGTGAGAGTTGGGCAAGGTGCTGTTGAAGCATCTAAGACAGGCACTGAGGAACAGCAGAGCAGGCTTGAGAGTGGAGCTAGACCACACACACACACACACACACACACACACACACACACACACACACACACACACACCATCTAAAGTTGGCTGAAGACAATAAGTAGCAGATAACAAATCCTATCATTTTATCCATAGGGTCTATAGATAGATGATTGATAGATAAGTAGCTGTTAGAAAATAGATCAGATAGATACGTGATAAATAGATCAAAAAGATAGATACATAGATTGATAGGTTATGAGAGATAAGATAGACAGGTAGGTAGGTAGATGCAGCTTGATGCTATCTTTCAAATAGAGAAAGCATGATACAAACTTGAAATCTGTTTTCTATAGTTGGTAATTATTAGACTTTGGATTATCATTTTGAAAAATCATTCTACTTGTTTGGCTTGCAAAAAGTGATGTTTCCTGTGGTTGAATCAGATCACACACTAGAAAGAAATTTTACTCTGTAAAAATGTGAGGTTTGATATATACCATGCCTCTAAAACTCTGACGAGAGGTGGTCAGCAAAGAAACAATACATAGTTAGCTTACTATGGGTGTGTCTGCCACCTGGTTATGGTTATTACGGTGTGACCATAATGGCTACCATTTTAGAAATACTAAGCTACATGCCATGCATGCTGTTCAGTGAGCTTTCTGTATCTTTCCTTGTTTATTCCCTACAGCAACATTGTCTTCTTCTTCAGGTGAGAACATCCAGACACAGGGAGTTAACCAAGGTACCCAGACTGCCATAAAATGTCACACCTTAAACCCACGAGATCTGATTACAGAGCTGGACTGGGAACGTGGGGGCCTCTTCACCAGGGAGGCTGGCAGTTTTGTCTGTGTAGTTACTGAGGTCACGTCCTTTCAATCTTAAAGGGTCCCATTTCAGATGATAAACGTGGTGATTCGCTTACCCAGAGCCTAAAGCCTCATGAACCATGCAATGCTGCCTCTGGTGAAAAGCTAGCAGTGCTGAGGAAACAAAAGAGGAAAGAAAGAACTGTTTCTAGGCATGGTGGGCAGATGGCAGTACAAACGTTCTGCGGTGTGGGTGCCATGTTCTCTCCTTACACACACAAACAGAATGCCCCTGCGGTCGCCACAGTCCAACTGGCTACAAATGAACAACTTCTACTAGCTCTTAACTTGGTCCGAATGATTCCAGGGCAGCACAAAATCTCTGACTATCTGAAGGCATCCAAAGACATTACAATACATTTACATACTTGTAAACCATTCATTCATTCACACTCTTCTACCTGGCTGCTTCCCGGTGAGCCTGTCCTCCTGCTTGGAAGCTACTTCTATCCCCTATGCCCTGTACGAACAGCTCACTCCCAAGACCCCAGACTGTCCTGCTGTTCTGCTGGTCAGCAACCATCTGCTGGTGGCTA